CCCGCAGCAGCAGCCGGCTGGGTTGCGTGTTCCTCCTTCCCACTCCAGCCATCCCTGCTGTACTGTAATCACACAATTATTGTGCCATTAAAATGTCATATTCGCAGAAATCTACATCAACAAGGCATTAGCAACTGCCAGAAAATTGTAGTTTTACTGCTAATGACCTGCTCTCGCCCCGCACCACCACTCCTTTTTTTTTAAAAAAAATATTTCCCCCCTTTTTTTTTTTTATTTGTTTCTGAGCCGTGATTTAAGAGTCAGTTGACAAATTGCATCTTTGCACCGAGAAGCTTTCGATCTTTAATGGACAGTTGTGGTGAAAAGCTGGCTCCGTGCTTGCTCAGGGGCTTTGCCGTTTACCCTTCCCCAGCGAGGCAGCAGGCAGTTTTCAGGGGGTGCTTTTAGCGGGTGGTTTTGGGGGGTGCTTTTAGTGAGATGAAGGCTCTTGGCGTGGCCTGCTCTTGGCTGGATGCTAGCGTGAGATGGGAGCTGCTCTCTGCCATGAGTTTTGTCCATGTTTCTTTGCCTGGGGGATCCCTCTCGTTGACCCCCTGGGACCACCCCCAATGTGATGTCGGAAGGGGCAGCACTTGTTTGCAGAGAGTGGTCGGATGCCCCTTGGATATTTTTTTACTCTCTTTCCTGCAGACTCGTTGAGTCTCTCGAACTCTTTTAAGCATTGACTGTGTTTCCTATAATTAAAACCAGCCATTAAACTGCAATGTTGAAAGAGAAATTACCTAATTCCAAGAAAAAAAATGAAAATTTATTACTAGTACATGAGAGAAAATGAATATGAAGCTAGGAGAGAGAAGCCCTGTAGAAGATAAATAGAAAGGCGAGTGGAGTATTGACTTGATCCTTTTCTAGTGCAGGGTAATTTGGCTTCTAAAGTGAGTTAGATCATAATAAATTAAATTTAGATTTCTGCACATCAGTTAAATAACTCCCAAGACAGAATTCTGGTGTGAGGAAGAGGTGATAAGACATGGCGTAAATATTATAATGAAGACCTTATCCAGTAACCCGTAACTGATGTGCTGTCCCTGGGTGAGTGAAGGGGATTTCTCCTTCCGCTTTAACTCGCTTGTCCCATCCCTGATCAGATGCCAAGAAACAGGCGAGCCCCTATGTACAGGTTGGGGAGGTGTGCTGCTTCCTACCGCTTGTGTCGCTTGGAGCTTTTCATCCGAGGACGCTACCTTGCTTTCCCTCATAGCTTTGTGCAGATATTTTTTTGAGAGGTGGGTGTATGCCTGTGTCCGAGCATTCTGCTCCAATTTTGGTTACCCTTACGGGGAAGCTTGGGTTGGAAAGCTGAAGAATGCCCAGAAGGTTTGGGCAGGAGATGTGAACTGAAGGCAAATGACCAAACCCACATATCTACTTCTGGCTGAGAAAGTTAACTCAATCCTTGGACTTGTTTTGTGTTCAGTATTTAACCAGATAGTGGTTAAAATAACTCTTTAATCTCTATTTGGCATCTGTTTGCTCTTGATCTCAGATGTGTATTTAACTACCCGATATTTAGGAACCATCCTACTGATAGTACTCCTTGACCCAGAAAGGAAAGCCTGGGTGAATCAAGGTGAACTGATGTCTTTCAGGTAGAGATTTCATGGGGGTAGTAGTTATTCCCTGTGGTGGGAACCAAGAATGCAATCCTTGGATGCAAGGTATATCCAGGGCAGGATGAGAAGCAAATGCCATGGATAAGGCACTGGTATCTGTCCATATATCCATTTACTGCTGGGATCGTCCCGTGGCAGGATGGTAGTGGGGACATATCGATGCTGGCAAAATGCTGTTGCAGACCTTGAAGCACGCACTGAGACCCTCCCATGTGCTGACCCCCTGCTTCTGCTGGCCTGGCTAGAGCCTCGCTGCCCTTGCAGCACGTGCAGAAGCTCCGGTTTTCCCGGAGCTGTGGCGGGCCGGGGGACCCCCCCAGCCCTCCTGCTCCAGCCATTGGGTGCTTGGCCTACTGCTCCCCTTCCACCTGGTCCAAGGCTATTTAGGTTTAATTGACGTTAAAATATATATATACATCAAACACTCTTAAGAGGTATGTGACCACTTTTAAAAGTTATTTCCCTTCTTCGTAAGTTTGATAAAATCAACTTTTACTTTTCTTCACAGCACTAAAATTTAAGGACTGCAACTCTGCAGCAGTTTTTTTAACGGTACCAGGCCCCCCAGGGTCATCATGAAATCTTATAAACATCACGCTGTTGGTGTCTCTGAGATGCAATCGGTTCACTTTTCACTGATGTTTTACTGCGGCGGTAAATCACGTTTTGTAAGATGCCTTAGAAAAAACATAAACAATATTTATCACCCTGTGTACGTCAGTCCTCCCGAAAGCCCGCAGGCTGGTTATGTACATTCTCCTCGTACACCTCCTGCAGCAACCTTCCTGGTTTCATAACTTTCTCCCAGCCTTGAATAACTTTCTCCCAGTATGGGTGGTGGCTCAGGGGTTTCTGCTGATCTTCTCTGTACTGGGTAAGTGTTGGAGGAGCGCCTGAGAAGGCTACAGGGTCATACATCACGGGGGAGGATGAATATTACCCTGTATCTGGAAATCCCTACATCCTTGTGGTCTGTTGGCTTTTTGGGGATACATCGCTGTGACCCAGGGCAGTGTGGGGCATTGGGTGGCTGGAGGTGCCCGGCTTGGTCCTGCCATGGTTCACTTGCTGGACCTGGTGCTCCCTCCTCCCCTTTGTATGACTAGAGAAAACGCGCTGCCATATGCAAGTAAAATCAATTATGGGATAAAAATTGCCCGTTTCAAAAGCTTCATTTTGCGCTATTAGCAGGCAAAATCGGCTTTGAGATGGTGTGAACCGAGGAGGGGAAAAAAAAAGAAAAGAAGTAGAAAAGATCAATTATTGGATAAGATCACAATTTTCTTTGAGGCTGAGATGTCTGTAAATGTTTGCATCTCTCCGTGTTACATGTAGGCTGAGATCAAAGAGGTTGTGCTGCTGTAACGATGAGATCTTATCGTCGCTGCATTGTGCTCGCCAGCTCCAGAACCGCGCTGCTGAGGGATGCTTAAATCCCCTGATGGCACCAAGCTGCCAAGGGATGCTTAAACCCCCCTGAGCTGTCTGATAACCCCGAAATTCAGTTCCTCTATCCTTTTGAAGGGGAGGGACCGCACGGTCACATGCTTGCCTGCTCTTCTCTCCACAGTAGGGCTGAAGTCCTCAGTGGGAGATGTTGTGGCAAAGATGGACCAAAATTGGGCTGGGAGGACGATGACCCCCTTCTTCCAGGGTCCCGTTGCTGGAGCTGGCCCTGGGACCAGGATATGGCCATGGAAGTGTGGGATTGTGCTTGATGAAACTGCTGCTGTCTGATTGCCCTTTCTCACCTGAAGGGTTACAGGGGCGATGGGGCATGTGGTGTAAACCTTTGTTTTTTGGCTGGAGAGAAATTAAAATCCTAACAAGACCTTTGCGGTTTTATGTTTCTCAAGACCATGCTGTTTGAGAGGAGGGATCCACCAGAGACCTGAATTTGGTTTCTTATTAGTCATTTTAAATTCAAATTGGCAGGCTGTCTTTGACATGCTGTTTCAAGACCTAGGGAAAAAAAAACACCAAGCCTGAAGACCTAATGAGGCTCCTTGTTAGCCTGCTCTTGTGATGCCTGCTGATGCCGCAGGGCTGATTCACCTCCGTTGGGGCTCTGGAGGACCTCTGGAATGGGGTCAGGTGTCCTCTGGTTTCTCCTTTCACTAATGGGGCTGACTTTGTGCGCGCAGGGTTCGGACGTGGACTGGGACGACCTTTGGGATGAGTTTGAAGAGCGGAGGTACCTGAGCGCCCGGAGGTGGAAGGGCGGCGAGGACCCATACCGGCTCCACGCCTTTAACCAGCGGGAAAGCGAGAGGATCCCCAGTGACCGCGCTGTCCGTGACACCCGCCATCACAGGTTCTGCCTCCCCCTCCCCGGGTTTCTGCTGATCTTCCTCATGAAACTTCATTATATGGGTGGATAGTCCTGTTCCTCTTCAGGACCGTGATTTTGGGATGCTAGGTGGGTGTGGGCCATTCACCAAAGTGCAATGAGTGCACTTGGGATTGGTTCAGCCTGGGTTGTATTTTTAGGATTGAATCTTTCACTTTGCTTGATTAGATCATAGGTAAAGAAAAGCATTTTGTTTTCCTTCAGATAAGTAATGGATGTATGAGAGTGCATCTCCACGGTGGGCGAAGTCTTCACTGGTGCTGGGAACTCTTGTTCTGCAGAAGATGCAATGAGAAGGTGCAAGAGGGACAAAATCGCTGTTAAGCACTTATTTTGCTCTGTAGAGAGAGGAGTTGATGTGGGGAATGTGGGACTATTGCTGAGGGAGGAGGAAGGGAAGGTAAGAACTCATTGGGTTAGTAGCAGCTCCAGCACCATCGGGGTCAAAAATATCCTTTGGCTTCCAAAGGAGCTCTTGGGAAAGGCAGGGAGGATTGCAGCAAGAGTTACGTTGTGGTACCTGTGTTCCCTTGCTGCTGTCAGCATGAGAAGGGCAGGGTGGGAGTTTTGGTGCACCCTTGCTTGCTGTGAGTGCAGTTGTAGCCTCCTTCCAGTTGCCTCTCCAAAGTCTTTGGGGAAAATCTGCCCTTCGCGGCTGTAGGTTGTTGATTGTTGGTGGGGTGGATTGTTGGTCTGCTGGATGGAGTGATGCTGGGGTGTCCTGCTGGGGTAGGAAATACCTTTGAGGTTCCCTCGGCACCCTTTTTCCTCCTTGTCTTCTCAGGACATAGTGTATGCCTGGCCCCCCCCAAGCGGTCCCCAGCCCACAGCCAGTGCAAGCCCTTCCCAAGGAGCTGTGCCTGGCAGTATATCCCAGCCCTCTGGCAGCAGCCATTCTCTCCCACCTTCTCCCATGGGCCCTTCAGAGGGGCGCCCTGCTCTGGTGGGACACCTCTGCCGAATCCAACCCTTCCTGCGTAATCTCTGTGATTCACAGCAACCCGACACCCGGCATCTGACCCAACTCTAAATTTCCCCTATTCCGGTTCAAATGCAGCACTTAGGCTGAAATGCTGAAACAGCACCAGTTTCCCAGCCCTATAGCAAGCAACATGCTTATTTATTTATTTATTCTTTTAGCTCTTTTTCGTATTAAGGACCAGATGCTCCTTTCTCCGGAGAGGAGCTGTCAGCCCTGACGGACGCCTGTTATAGCTGAGCAGAGAGGGAGTGTGCTATTCCTGGAGAGAATTAATGCCAGGGATATTAACCATCTGCCCTATTAAAAGGGAAGATCGACTTGGCTGCCCCCTCGCCGTACCGCCGCTGCGCGATGGCAGCCACCTTGTTCCCAGGCGATCAGATGCGGCACTGAGTGCTCCTGCAAAAGAAAAGTTCTCATTAAGCAGGAAGCGAGGGCACAGCACGTGGGAGGGGCTGGGGCTAATTGCATTTGCTTCCAATTTCCTTAACCCGGTAATTGGATTCTGATTTATTGAATATGTCTGAACAATGCTGCGGATGATGCACCATTAGCCGAGCATTAGAGTGGCCACGGAGGAAATGGGGCTGCCGGGAGACCTGGGGGAGGCAGGCGCTGATGGGTGGGATGGAGGAGGGAGAAGGGTCCGGCCATGGAGGCTGAGGGGGAGAGGAGGGTGTGGAGTTTGCAAAGCCCTCTCTGGAATGAAATCCTTGCACATGGTGGAGGTGTCTGGGGAGCTGCCACAGGTGATGCTCTGGCACTGCTGTGCAACCTGGGAGCATGTCCTGGATTGCCCAGTGGAGCTGGGTGGGAAAACGTGGATGAGCATGACCTGCTCTTGTAGCAGGGAGAAATTGCTGGTGGCTGTGCAAGAAAAACATGTAAAGTGAGTCCAGTATGGGGTTGACTAGGAGAGCTCCTTCCTGTGAAGAGGAGAGCAGAGTACCACAGACCAGGCTGGCATGAGAGATGGGAAACCCCCAGGGTTCATGCTGCGTGACCTGCTGGAGGCTCTGCTTAGAGACTTGGTTTCGACGGCAAACTTGGCTTAGGCTGCTTTCTGTGAGCTAGACTGGAAGTGCTTAGGCTTTCTTGTATGATAGTGAAGTTGGACCTTGATTCTGCTCCAGCTGACCCTTGGGGGAAGGTGAGTCCTAGCGTGGACCCCACACAAAGGGGCACCACTGTGCCAGGGAGCTATGCTGAGGTGATCCTGCCCAGCTGCTATTCCCAAAGAAAGTTTGCATGAGGGTCAGTAGACTTTGGAGAGGTCTTACCCACCTTTTGAGCATGTCCCCATGGGCAAGCAGGCTCTCCTTCAGCTTCTCAGCCAGGTGTTGTTGCCCAAAGCAGCTTGCTCTGCTCTCTGACCAGGTTTTCAATGTGTTTGCTCTCCATATCTTTTCCCATCTGTACAATGCATGGCAGCACCAAGACTCACGGACGTGCAGACCATGGTAGTGCCCCTCACAGTCCTGATCCTAGTGCCCAGGACATGGGAGTGCTGCTCCTTACAGCCTCTCTGTGGGGTGTTTTCCACCAGGAAGGTTGCTGAAGATTTCCTGGAGTTTTCTTTGCTAATCCAGCCAAGCATCTGCACTTGCCAACAATAGCTGAATGTACAAAATCTGGCAAGGGCTGAGCAGCAAACTCCTTGCCAGAAGGTCATGGAGAGGGCAAATACTTTCAGCAGGGTGGGATATGGCACTGACAGACAGTTGCTTAGCAATGTTTGCTGGATTCATTTTGTTTTTAAATTGCAGCCAGTGGAATGGTTTCAGATGGAGAGGAATTTCAGAGTTCTGAGGAATCGGAGCTGGAGAAACCGTGGTATCTCTCCCTGCCTGCCTCCAGCCAGCACAGGGCTGTTGCAACCTTGCACTCGGTTTGTGGGTGATTTCAGCCAGGGAAGTGCCATGGCTTCTGTGGACCGCGTCATGTCCCCCACCCTGGAAGATCTCACAGCTGGAGCATCACTCCTGGTGACCTGCTTGCATTTCCTTGCTGTAGAGTGGGTTCCTAGTTGCACGTTGACTAAGCCCTTGGACAATGTGAAGGGATGTCTTTCTCCAGCAGAGGACCACGTATAGTCCTGTGGTGGTATATCACATCCCCACCAGGAATCAAGGTTAAAAAGTCCCTGTGACCACAGCAGCCAGCTGGACCCGGATCTAGGTGGCGTGTCCACGTCATGCACAGCCAGCTAATGCCGCTGGAGTGGGCTGCTAGTCCCCCTCTGCTGTGGTAGCCACATGCCATTGGGATTACCTCATCGCCACATCCCACCCTCTGCAACTCCCACCGGCAAGCCGCAGGACCAAAACGGCAGCAAGTGAGTCAGTGCCAGGCGTGCGTGTGTGAGGAGAGGAGCTGAGGTTTCCAGTATTGCTCAGCGGCTTGGAAAGCCGACAGAGAAGATGCGTCGCCCGCAGCCAGAAGATTTTGTCATGATGGCTCCTGGGCTTTTTCCATTTGTGGCAGGCGGCTCCTGGGGAGGCCGGTATTCGCCATGCGGTTGCTCCATATGCTGCTTAGGCTGACCTCCGCCTCCCAAACACTCCGTTGGGTTTAATAGATGTGCAGATGCTGTTGTGGCTGGCCGGGGAGGCCGGGGCGCGGGGGTATGAGAGAGAAGTGGCTGGAGGAGAGGCAGGAGTCTCCAGCAGACTTCTCTAGTTGTTGCAAATCACATCAGCTGGCCTGAAGCATCCCCTGCTGCCTATTTTCCTCTATTTTTCTTGTTTTTTTCCTCCGCAGCGCCAATATGAGTTTAGTAGTACTGTCTCAAGAGCTGGTAGAGCAAGGAGGCCAGGGATGGAGCCCTCTCAAATCCTGACATCAGGCAATAATCCTCCGAATTTTTGAAGCTCCCTCCCTCTGTGAGTCCCAAGTGCTTCACAAGAGGCCCTATGTACCCAGCTAAACTTGGATTTTACAGCTGCTTGAGGGGGTGCGTTTGTGTGCGTATGTGCGTGTCTGAGAGAAAGAAAGCAGCTGCAAAAATCAAGTTACAATTGAAATGTGAGGCTGGCAGGGGTACTGGCAGATACTAAGATCAGGCGTTGCATCGTCTGCCGAAGATGAGAGCATCCTGGCAGCCCGCGGGCCTGGTCACGCCAACTTATGCCCCTAGAAAAGCTCTTCCCTGGTAGCCTGCCCTGTTCCCTTCACGGGGAACAACACATGCTGTAAGACTTCTTCCAGATTTCCTCACTCAGACTGCAGTGTGGTGCCAGCTGGAGAGTGTCTGTTGGGTGGGAGAGCTGCTCAGGGCTGGTGGCTCTGCTTGTGGGGACAGTTCGTGGAGGGATGGCAAGCGGTGACGCCTGTGATGTTACCCTGGGGCAGAGAGCTCAAGGTCCAGAAAAGTCAGGATTCCAGCCCCGAAGCACTTCACACTGCAGTGTTAATTTGACCTGTTAATTGCAGTGTGCGTCACCAGGGTGCAGAGGCTGCACGTTCAGCGTTACATTGGAGCAGCTCTAGTTGGGGTAGTTGAAAATACCAGACTGTGCTGTGTATGGGGATGACCGGGAGGAACATGCTGTCCCGAGGGTGGTCCTGCCTCTACCAGGTGTGGTACCTGCGTGCATGGGCATGTGGGGCTGAGCAGGCATCTCTGCTGCCACATAGCTTCCCCGTGTCCCCATGTCCCATGCAAATGCGTTTAGCACGCAGCACGTGAAAGTGTGCGTAGATGTCCATGTGCAGATTGCGTGAGGGCAGCTGCGTTGCATGCAGGCTTGGAAGTGGCTCTGGTTTTGGCTGAGCTGATGATTGCATCCCAGGAGTGGCAAGCAGTCAAGTGCACTGAGCATATTGCAGTATCTTCTTGGAAATGAAGAGTCGAAGAGGAGAGAAGTAGATTTTGACAGCATTGCCTTTGGCTTAGCGTGTTTATGATCCCCTTGGACTTCTCACATTGCCTTGTCTTCCTTGCTCACTAGACCAAAACCACTTTGAGATGAATCGAGGTGAA